GAGAGAGAGTCTTTAATCAAGAAGAAATCTTCTACGAAAAAAAAAAAAAATAAAAGTCGAAAATATAAGATGGAACTAAAACTTCGATCGAATCAGTTTCAGCCAAGTAAATCGAAGAATTTATCAACGTTGTCGATTTTATTAATTTTCTTCCGATTCGATTAAAATTTCACGAAATTTCGTCGATCGATCGTAAAATAACAGATCCCGTACGAAAGAAGAGAACTCGACTACTTAACGCCTCTCCCCACTGTCGTAAACGCGGATCGAATCGCTCGTATAACGTTGACATTGTCGAGTCTCCTTCCCCCACTCCTTTTACCAACGTAAACTCGAACGACACGAAGAGAGAAAGAGAGAGAGAGAGAGAGAGACACCGTTTCAGCAAAAGCATTTCGATATTGTGCGTTCGAGTGGCGTCGAGTGCCGAGCACGTCGAGGGCTCGTCTTTAGTTATGCCGTGTTAGTTACGCGATCCTTGTATTTCCCGATGAATTATATGCCGTCGGAAAGAGCATGGACGGTAGAACGTTGTCGAAACAAACGCTCACGTTCTCACGATGAGCGTGAGCGAAAAAATTGAGATAACATTCTGTGTTGTTTCGATATGGAATCGTGGCGCGCATAGCGGTATTAGGATTTATAGAGGGCGAATTAATTTCGATGTAAATACGAAGTTTCGTTCGAGTGTTCTGTATAAATCGTCGCGTTTATTATTATCGTTTATTATTCGCTCGCCGATGAGAGGAAGAGTACACGAGTTGTGAACGGAGTAGATAAATTCGTCAAAGCATTCTTAAAATAACAAAGTCTATGAAAAAAAAAAAAAAAGGAAAAAAGTGAAGCGTAGTATTGGGTTTTTTATTTTATTTTATTTTATTCTATTTTACTTTTTTTTGTTTTATAATCGAAAATACCGTTTCAAAGTGCATTGTCTATCCCATCCTCGCGCCAAGTATTGACTAACAACTCGTGATTTAAATATTCTTTTGCCAAGAAATTTCCTCGAAAATAACACGATTTGTAATTAATTCAACCAAATAATTATTAACAAGGTTAGGAATTACATTTTGCAATATTTTTAAATGATTTTTAGGTATTGTTTGAAGATAAATACGAATGATGAGGAAATATTACAATATAAATAAAGTGATCGATTCGTAATTCAACGATAATGATAATGAATATCTTCGATTCGTGTTGATCCTTTGATTTTCCATTAATTAATAATCATTTGCAATTCTTTATCTAATATCCGTAGAACAAACAAAACTCTAAATAAGAGATAATATCTTAATCTCCAATCCTTTTCTGCGTCTTCAAAGTGTTAAATACAAATCGAATTTTCAATAATCGTTTTAATTATGCATCTTCCTCTTTTTCGTTGTATAAGTACGCGTTGTATATTTTTCTATTCGCAATAATTCTTATTATAAAGAATTAATCTTTCTTAAGGCCCGATCCTTTCGCTCATTCCCATTTTGAAAAATCACATTCTTGTTGTGAGTTATGCGATTGCGAGCATACGCTGCCATTTTCACACCATGTATGCGACCATGATGCGCTGCGATTGCCATTGAAGTTTTCTCTACGAGGACAAGCTGTTCTTCTCTATACGGTGGGCAAGAACCCACCACCATTACCAACCACCTTATTTACTCAGGTTCCTCTTTCAATTCTGTATCAAACGGGATATAATCCGGCGATATATGAGTCTCGTTTGTAACTTGTAATCTTCAACGATACGTGCGACATAATTCAGAATTAGGACATGTCGACATGTTGGAAACGTGGACGTTGTGGTATATTGCGGAACAACGATTCCATAATTTCCTTCTCGTTTTTAAAGAAAAAAACGTTTAAACGCGAAAGTTAAAATCTAATCTACTTATATCTTTTGCAAAGATAAGAAGTTTAACGACGTTAACATAACATTGTAACAATTGAACACGCAAAATAGCGTGTGAAGTACGTTTTGAAATATGTTAGGAATCTTTTTTTATTATTACAAATTATGAGATATTTTTTGAAAATCTTATCGACAAACGTTTGTATCGATAACAATATGTAAAAATTCTTCTTCCTTTCTGCCGAATTGTATGCCGAATTTTCATTGGCAAACACACGCCATTCCGTGAAGGGTTCATCCGCAACGTCCCCCCCTTCCATCGAATCAATTATCATTTCATTCGGGCGAAATTACCGATAATTCTAATGCCTGTCGGATTAGAGATCGATTTTCCAAAAAAGCGCAAAAATTTTCATGAATCGACATAAGCTGCTTAGCGGCGTGTGTCCACGACAGCTGTCCTGTCCATCTATCGAAAACCCATCATTTTATATATGTACATATGTGTGTGTGTGTGTGTGTATTGTTCATAGCACAAACATTAATCCCATAAATACCAAAATTATCCGGAAAGGGCTCTTTGAAAAGGCAAAAAAGGGCAAAAGCACTGCAACGTGTAATCATTCCCCCGGGTGAGTGTATTTGAACAGGGAGGGCATTTTCTAAATTTGAAAATTTTCAAAGAAGAATATTTTCCCAAATTTGGAAATCCACTTCTGTAAATGATTTTAACAAAAATTTTGTTTAACAGAGTTATGATTTAACGCGTTAATCATATCATAATCTCAGTATAATCAAATATTATTGATCCAACTTTTGACTTTTCTTTCTGTTTTAATTACAAAACTATGGATAAAATTAGTATAGAATACATTCGATTCTCTTGTCCTATTTGAAAATAAAACATTGTCAAAGAAATTAAATATAAAAATCTAAAAATTGTCGACGTATTGATTATTACATTCCAAAAATCAGTTTTCATATCAGCTATCAGGAATCATATTTTTGCCTTACTCCCTGATTACGGACTCTAAACGAATAAGAATACGTGCAAACGATAAAAATACATTGTTACATGTATTATATACATTCAGAAAGATTAATTGAATAAAATAAAGATTTAATAAATTTTCTGGAACGTATATATAAAAATATTTCTATATTAAAAATACGGGGTAAATTTTAATAAATTAAAAACAAATTTAATAAATTATGATATTTTATAATTATAAATTATATAATAGATAATTAATAAAATATTAATAATTGTAACATTTACATGTTTCATATTTTAAAAATATTCGTTTGAGAAGTTATAGAAATTATTGATATTCCACCTGTAACGCTTAACTTTGTCGATTAAACGTAAAAAGGTTTAGACATGTCGAAACTACACGCATTTTATTTCGTGTATGATCTAAAGTTATGTTCGAATTTTGCGTTTTATAATATTCATATTTTATTTTCATGAATATTTATATATTTATCATGAATGTTTTTAAATATATTAAGTATGTTAAATCGCAAATATTTGTGCGTTTTATTCATCATTTTATTCATCAATTATTATTGTTTTATCATTATTATGAAAAGATAAGAAATTTTTGTTATTATCACAGATAAAATATAAGTCTATTTTTAAATAGAACTTGTGTTCTCAAATATCGATCGCACGAAAATCAGTGTTTGTTATTTTTTTTTTTCTATATATACATATAATAGACGATTAATCTTAATTTTTAAGATATTCGTAAGAACGAAACTTTTTGTGTTATTGCATCGAATTTTGTCTAATTTATATTCTACGACATATAAATAACGAAATAAAAATAAAAAATAGATATATAAAAATCGAAAATGAAAATGGATTACAATAATATTATCTCATAATATATATAATATTAATTATATATAATATAATCTCATATAGACAAAGAGAGTAAAGAAAAGAGAGTAGCGAGAAAAGGATAGAGATAGGATAAAAATATTGAAATTAACGCCATCTTCAGAGTGGCGCAAATGAAACATATAAAAAAGGTAAGAAATAGTGAAAAAAGGATAGAGAATAGAATAAGATTAAGCAATAAGCGCCATCTCTTAAGTGCCAAAGATATCTTATCAAATATTTTAACAATTTTAGTTCAACCAATTGTCGGTAGATGGGGCTAATCTTTTATTTTATCTTACCTTTTGAAAAAATATCTTATTCAAGAGATGGCACTGACAGTCAATTCTTACCCTATTTTTATTTTTTTTTCATCACTTTCTATTCTTTTTATATATTATTTTTACTTTCTTTTTATCTTTTCTCACTATTTTTTTTCTTTATATATATATATATATACATTTGGCGCATGATTACAAATGTTAATACGAAATATTAAGCGAATACATTTTTATTGTCTTTTTCAAAATTATAATATTTCTTAATTTTTGATATAAAAAATGTATAAGATATAATTTTTTTGGTTTTTTTTAATGTATAGAACAGCTATCTTCCAAAATATAATATATTTTAATATATATTAATACAAATATTTGAAAAAACATTGAGAATAATATTAAATTGGCAAGATATTTTAATATTTTTGATGTATGGGATAAAAAAATTCATGAAACAAAAAAGAAATATTTATTAAATTTATTTTGTATCTCGTTTAACAGTATATTATATATATATTGTTAATCATGTCTATATTACATATATGTATAATAATATAATAAAAGAGACATTTTTATTTCTGCTTTCTATTTTATTGACTAACTTCGATAGATTAAATGTAATTCCTATATTTATCATTATAAATTATACAGAACATATATAATGATTTCTATGGATTTCAAAACATGAAGTATAAAGTTTTATAAGATGGTAAATCTATACTATGCTTTATCTATGATTATACTTCGTAGCATATTTCATAGCGTATAATATATATGCGTGTGTATGTATGTATTGTGTATTGGACAAAATTTAAATTATGTTTAATAATTGATATTTTTAATTAAAAATAAAAATTTATATTTAAAATTTATCTTTAAAATATTTTCAAAAATTCATTATACATATTATATTGAATCATAATATCGACACAAATTAACAATAATTAATTATAGAAATATTTTGATTCTATTTTGAATATTTGAAAATCAAATTAAAAATAAATTTATTATTCAGAAATTGTTTTAAGAACTTGAGTCAGATTCTGACATAAGCAATATAAATTTTCGTATATAAGTAGATTGTTGAAAATAAATTGGTGGGGATTTAAAGAAACTAAATCAGGCGAGAAAAGCCGAAAATTGCCGATTCATACTCGAGTGGATTCTGACCTGAATATTCGTTATTCTTCTTGGAAAGTTGTGAACATTGTGTCTATTAGTGTTTTATGTTTTATAAAAACATATTTTTGTATTATTCATTCTAGTATTAAAAACCACTTGTAAAAAAGAATAATAATGGCTGTAACAAGTGATGCTATGTATCAATCAAGAATCATTGCTCCATCATTCGTATCGTCAAACATGTATTATGGTTGTGTACAACATTGTAAGAAAGAAACTCAGCATAATGTTATGCTTGAACATATCGGAATTTCAAAACCATCATTAATCGATTGTTGCTCTTACGATACACTTATGGAAATTGATGAAGACGGATGTGATTATTCTATGACAACTGATTATTTGAACAACGATTCTATAATTTTAAAAGCAACAGTACAGAATCGGTTAAAAACTAGTGAAAAATTACAATCACAACAACAAACAACTTATGATGCGGATATGCTTCAACGCAGAAGTCGGAAGCGACACAACAGCGATTTCAATTCTACAAGTCAACTGAAAAAGTTACGAAGAGGTAGGAAAAAATTTATAATTATATTTTTTTTATATTTCTTTAAGGTAAAGACTTAATAAGGATATTACGATTATCAATTTATTAATACGTTATACAAAACCGCGATCTCATTAATTTATATTCGTATATGCTTTAAATAGATCTTGTTAGAGGTCGTTGTTTGTTCTTTTCTTATTTTTAAGCGGGAAATTTTTAAGCACGAAAAAATATTTATTATATATTTGAAGAATGCATAATATTTAAATATAGTAATAGTAAAAATATTTTTTGAATATCAGATTTAAATATCATTTTGAAATTTATTTATTGTTGCTTCAATTCTATTAGTATATCGCTATTGATAAATATTAAAATATATAAATATTCAGTTTTCCTTCCTGTGGGGGGAAAAGAGTTGTATATTTACATGTGATCACAGAGATTTTCATCCGATCCTGGCATTAAATTTATTTTGAAGCTTAATGCATCCTGTCATCTTCTGTACCATGGATAATGGTATGCAATGGAAAGCATGGATGCTAATATTTTTTCATAAACTAATGACACTTAGTAAGTTTGGTCTTTTTTTCATGGTAAGGATATAATTTGCTGAAAACAATAAATGATATAGGAGGTATTCGGTTAAATTAAGAGTTAAGGCAATGGGTTTCCTTTCAGAGGCGGTGGTAAGGACCATGTACAAGAAGACACAACAGATACAAAGGACTATGGCTCAACCATTATGTCGTGTGAATCAGAAGCATTTCAAGTAAATATTATTGATAATGTGCAACAATCTAAGATTAAAAATAAGAACGGGGCAGCAGAAAGTCATATTAGTTTCAATAATTCAAATTGTGAAGAATTGTTATTCAATAATAGTCATAAATCACTTGAAAACATTGTTGAATATGAAAATATGTTATTTGAAACACATGGATGTTCAATATATCAATTTTATCGTTTGCAATTGGATAATAATGACTGCACAGAATTTTAAATAAAATAATATATAATTATTTTTAATGTTTATATTCTTTTTTATTTGTATCACAAAACATACATTCTTTATGCATTTATACATGTCACTACATTCTATATGT